GCCGGCCGGGCCCCGGGCGCCGCCGAGCTCCTCTGGGGTAGATACCCGCATCGCGCTGCCGCCCGGGAGCCTGCCGAGGGGGCACCGGCCTTCACCCGGCCTCCGGCCAGCCGCTCGCCACAGCCCTCACCCCGTAAGTGCCCGCCCGAGCGGGGGGTCACAAGTCCAGCGACTGCTTGGCTTTCTGTTCGTTCGTTTTTCTCCTCCAGCAGTTATTTTTCCAAGGGCAGTTTTTCACGTCTGTGTCACCTTCTGGCTAACATAGCTCTGTAGTGTTTTCTTAGCTTATCTAAGGGCAAATGTCAAATTTATGTCACTTCTACTGTTTTTTATATCAGTGAAGCCAGATATTTTGTGAAAGAAGGTTGGTTTTGTTGCAGTGCGTTCCTGAACAACCCACCTTAGCTACTTCTTATCATCTGCTTCCCATCTTAACTATTTAAAAATTGATTGTTCAATAACTTGATGTAAAATCTGTCCACATGCTGAAGGTAGGCTAACAAGTCTTTGCTTTCAGTCCTCCTCCTCCCCTCTTTTAGAGGTATGTGCTAGTCTGCCTCTCTTGTCCTCTCTGAGTTCTCACGGTGTCACTTCAATCAGCATTTTAAGCATCACGGGTGGATTTCATAAGTGTCTGCTGACTTGAAAATGTTTATCTTATCTTTAAGTTTATCCTATACTCTTAACTTACCTTTTTCCACTTTGACCTCACCTTCTGTGTCCCTGTAAAAGGAATTCCATTAAATATCTATTCACAACTAACCTTTCTGCTGAGGGCTGAAATAAAGAAGCTATTTAACACTTTGTCCTACTTTGTGTCACCTGTAATTTGTTCTTTTTGCTCTTAAGTTATAAACCTTGCCTTCTGTCTTTTATTGTATTTATGGAACCTTTACTTGTTATGCTTTAAGTCCTTCACTACTTATAACTCATTTCTGTACCGTTGCTGTTCTGATTGTATCCCTACATGATAGCACTGTCTCTTTATACTGTTCCTAAGCCATGCACGCACACCTTTTTTTTTTTTACTTTTTGTGTGATTTTCCATGTCATTAAAGCTCTCCTGGTGCAGTTAAAACAGTCTTGTACACTCTCTTTCCTCTGAATTTCTATTGTGCACTTAATATAGTCCCTTTCAGTAACTGCTAGCTCTCTGATCTCTTCCATCTCTTAGACTGTTTACTGAAGAGTCATGTCTGCCTATTCCCTGAGGTTTTTTTATGAAGTCTGTTAGGTTTATTCTGTTCCTCACACTCTACTTTCCTTAGAACAGGCAGTGAGAAACTTTGGCCAGCGGGCCAAATTGAGCTCACCAGAGCAATTCATCATGTCCAAATCCTTGATGCCTGCTCTCCTAAGGATCCTTTGGACAGAAACTGAAAGTAGGCTGCAGTATGGTTAAATGGTGCTGGTAGCCCATTTCCTCATGGCGCTTCCCTTTCTATCACAAAGTTTTGCAGCACCTTCATGTCACCTGGCATGAAATAGGCTTCTGTAATCACATGGAGAGTGCATACGTGTTCTGTCATATCCAGTGGATGTATATCTCTGATGAGAATACAGCTCTTCTCATTACATTCCTGGATGTGAACCCATCATGGCACAGGAAATACTGGTATTTTGGTCATGTGTTAGATACATTTCAGGTCATGTGGTAAGAAAGAAGTCAATGTTTTTTCAGCGCATGCATAAAAATCTATGTGGTCTGCCTCTGCCAGAAAGACTTACTGTTAGAATCTTTTCGTAGAATACTGATTTTGTGGTCACATATTGCTTTCCATCTTTAGAGTCTCAGTCCAGTTTCAGTGAGTTCTTCCCTTTTAGTCAAAGCTGAAATGAAAAGTGACCATTCTTCTAGTGGCTTCCTCCAGTTTCTGAAACACAAAGCTACTTTTAATTGTGGGAGGTTGTTCACCACACATACTGTATTCCTAGCCGACGGCTGGGTAACGTCCTCCACTGGTGATCAGTTACCATCATATCAGCTCTTGGATTGTGGCTCAGGAAGAGGTTCATTCAGCTCCTTCCTTCTATATGTGGTCTGTTGTTGATTGTTCCCAAGACAGCAACTCACAGGTTCTCTTTGCTCCTTCTTAGCCTGTGTTTCCTCGTTGCTTCCTCCAGTTTCAGAACTCACTCCTGTTCTACAGCGCAGAACCACTTATGTCGTAACTGTGGTTTCATGGGAAGACTTCCCTCCTGGGGGCTGTTTTGTTGGTTTTTTATGTCTTTTTGTCTTTGTTACAGCTTTACTGCAGCTCTGCGACCTCTTCTCTCCAAAGCTGTAGCAGTATTTCTTTTAATTTTCTCTGAGCCTTAGCCTCTGTTCTTCTTCAAAGCCTCCCTTGCTGCACTGCATTTGAGTCCTAAAACTCTCTTCCCTGTTATTATTGCATGAAATCTCTCTCCTCCTGCCATTAGCTTTTCGTGAAATGCTGTCCCATGTGTTTGTCACCAGCATTTATCTTCTCTGCCTGGTGAGAAAAATTCTGTTAGGCATATTCATGACCCATGGCCTTGAATCCTTTACCTTTGTACCCATAGTTAGTCCTTATACATCCATGGCCAGACCTTTCAGTCTGACCTAGCAGTGTCATTAGTGATCTCATGAATAGACCTTGACAAATTTCCCATGTTGTCTTTGCGATTGGATCCACGTGTGCCGCCCATTTTCCCAGCTGACAGGTGAGTATGTCAGGTGGATGTCTGTACCACGGTGGTAGCCATGACATTTGCAGCTTTAAGACTTGCATCCCTTCCTTCCTGGCCAATATAGGATACCATGATAATAACCTGCATAAGCTTTTAGTGGAATTCAGCTTCCGTGAGCTCACTGTCCTTATGCCAGCCACAGGCTAGCTATCTCTACCTTCTAATATTTTCCGTAATTACCCAGTTTTCTTTACATGTTTCTTCTCATTATTCCATTGACCATTAGTTTCAAGAGCACAAGGTTATCTTGTGGTCCAATATTCCGGGGCAGTGGAAGATAGGGAATAGGAGAAGATGGAAAAAATATCATTTACTTCTGTAACTGTATTATTGAAGTGCTTGAAGTATTTTATGTTTCTCCTTATACTAGTGACACATTGCAAGACAAAACTGATTAGCACATACTTTATTAAGGAGAAAATATAACATGAAACTTAGAACCACATATTTTTCTGCCAGAGATGTTTATGGATTCTGATGTCTTGCAAAATTATATGATGCTGCATTTTTCCTTCTGTTGCTTTCTCCTTTTTTTTTTTTTTTTCTCTCAGAAGAAATCATTGTAGGTTTGGTGCCTTGGAAGTATGGAATCAATCTCTATGATGGGAAGTCCTAAGAACCTCAATGAAACTTTTCTACCAAATGTTGCCAATGGCATCAAGGATGCCAGTAAGATCACAATAGGCATCATTGGAAGTGGAGACTTTGCCAAGTCATTGACAATTAGGCTTATCAGATGCGGGTACCACGTGGTTGTAGGAAGCAGAAACCCTAAACTTGCTGCCGAGTTCTTTCCCCATGTGGTTGACGTCACTCACCATGAAGATGCAGTAGCAAAAACAAACATCATTTTTGTAGCCATACACAGAGAACATTATGCCTCTTTGTGGGACCTCAAGCATTTACTCGCTGGTAAAATTCTAATTGATGTCAGCAATAATACAAGAGTAGACCAATATCCGGACTCCAATGCAGAGTATTTGGCATCACTTTTCCCAGATTCCCTGATTGTCAAAGGATTCAATGTCGTTTCAGCTTGGTCACTGCAGTTAGGACCAAAGGATGCCAGCAGACAGGTAAATGTTACATTTGTATTAATTTAACTAGTTTGTAAGATGAAAATGACAGGAACTGAATGTAAGCAGCCAGAACTCGTGGAATTCATCCTGCCTGACTTAATGTACCTAAAATGTTGGGCCTTTAGTTTAAGTTTTAGTAGCCAATAAAAGGTAGTAAGACTGTAAGACATAGAGAGGAAGTGGTCCAAATTATCCCCTGGGATGCCTGTTTAAAGATTGCAGAGGAAATGTGGATACGTGCTTAGACTAGACAGCTGACCTTTAGATGACTACAGACAGAGAAGAGGACTTGGGTCTTAATGTCTTCTGTAGGAAATATGTTAATTTTTATCCTTATGCTCTATACAAGGATAGAGGCAGTCTTTCCCTGTATATTTTTGTTTCAGTATTGGTTTACGTGGGGTGAACAATTGAAAGAGATGCACAGAAATCTGAAGTCCTGATCCCAGGGCTCAGGAGTCAGCTGTTCTAAAAATGCTTGCATTCAACGTAACAGCAAAGTCAATAAAGAAATTATCTAGCTTTTAGAATGCCCCAAGATCATAAATATGAGGAAACAGAAGGAGGCACATATGTTTCTAAGTGATCATTCATTTGATCCAGGACTGCTTGGGAACATCATGTTCAAATTCCTTCCTAGTATGTTCCCCAAATCCATCCTGCATATGGAAAAGGCAGCTTTATGTTTTTCATGCTTTGCTGAAGTGATACAAAAGATTTAAGCCTATGCAAGAACCCAGTCCTTCACAGCTTTATGGACTCTGAGAACTGCATGAGAAATGACTGGTGTAACGTGACTACTGGAGACTAAATTGAGTTTTCTGGCACTTCAGATAGATTTTAAATTGAATGCAATTGATGTGGAATTAGCATAATTTTAAAAATAACCTTGCTGTACTATTTTTATCCCCTTTCGGAACAGCGCTGCATTATAAGTAATTAACTTCTGTCAAAACTGATCACGTTTGCTCTAATGCAGATGATCAGCAAACAATGTTGGGCAAACTGTAGCCCACTGTAAATTTTAAAGGAACTTTAAAGTACTTTGTAGCAGTGCATTTCTTTCACTATGTAAAAAAACGGTCTTTAGAAGGAGTTCTTATTTGGCTGTTAGTTTTTGTCTTTTCTGTTAAACATTCAATTTTTGTGGAAATCTGGATTGTGAAATTAAGCTAAAATTGTTATACATGGAGAGATTACACAGTTCTTTGCTTTGCGTTCTGTTTATGCTGTAGCTGCTTTAGGGTCATCATTCAAGATTGTTGTGTTTTTGAGAGACTCATGATTTTCTGAAATGCTTTTAGCCATTGTTTCAAGTTTAGTACAGTCCTGTCAACATTTCAGTGGGGATGGGAGGGGGGGTTCAGTGTGCAGATTACCAGGGCATCCCATAGTCAGCTCATTATTAACTCCAAGAAAAAGCCAATTTTGTTTTGGTTACTCTATTGCTAAATCGGTGTGCGTATTTTCAGTTTGGCTGGATTTGTATATGGTTTCATTCTCATCTTGATGATATAAGCTGGGATAACAGTGTACAGTTTTAGCAGAAGTGCTGTGGTTTTGTCCTGGAAGCCCTTAAGGCTTTTTTGTGGTGGTTATTTTTTATTTTTTTTTTTACCTTTGAGTCTCTTTCTCTGACTACAGACAATTCACTTGACTTTCTCAACAGGTCTATATATGCAGTAACAATGTTCAGGCTCGCCATCAAGTTATTGAGCTTGCCCGTCAGCTCAGTTTTATTCCTATTGATTTGGGGGCATTGTCATCTTCAAGGGAGATTGAAAACTTACCTCTGCGACTGTTCACGCTGTGGAAGGGGCCTGTAGTGATTGCCATTAGCCTGGCAACATTTTTCTTCATCTATTCCTTCGTCAGAGATGTAATCCATCCATACGTGAGAAATCAGCAGAGTGACTTTTACAAGATCCCCATTGAGATCGTGAACAAGACTCTACCAATCGTTGCTATCACTTTACTTTCTCTAGTGTATTTATCAGGACTTATTGCAGCTGCTTATCAGCTTTACTATGGTACTAAGTATAGGCGATTTCCACCTTGGCTGGACAACTGGCTCCAGTGTCGAAAGCAGCTTGGACTGCTCAGTTTTTTCTTTGCAACAGTGCATGTGGCATACAGCCTGTGCTTACCTATGAGGAGGTCGGAGCGATACTTGTTCCTCAATATGGCATATCAACAGGTAAGCCAATCTTTAGTTCAGTAAGCCAAAAATGCCTTGGCTGTATGCATATGGCTCATGAATGCAATATATATATTTTCTTGATCTGTTCCACTGTTTTCAGCAGAGAATGTTTTGGGTTATGTTATGTATAGCTAGTGCCGAGTAAGAAGGGAGACTAAAAGAAACACCTGTGCATTGTGCTCAGCTTGTGGGTCAAGCTGCAGTCAAGTTTGTGTGGTAGGGGGAATCAAGGATGTGTCCTACTTAAATCCCTGATAGTAATATACACAAGGAGAACATAGGATAGACAGCGTAAGAGCAACAGCAGGAAACTTCTGAGTTTCTGAGGTATGTTCCTCTCTATGTATACTTAACGTATGGGCGAAGTATGTATATCATAAGTGCATTTACAAGTGTGAAAAAAGTATAAGGGTAGATACTGTAATAATGCTTACAGATACATCTATGTTTACCAAATAAAAATGCTGTTACTTTGTAACATTTAGGACCAGTGGTAAAAATATTTTATTCATTAAAAATTCTGTGAACATCATCTATTAGAGGCCACAGAAATTGACTCAGAGTTCCCAGGAGCAGTTGGTCTTGCATAACCCTGAAACAATCGCCAACAAATCTGTCATCCTTTAGGAGAGGGTCTGATGCTCCTGTCTGTCAGTGAGGTAGCTTACTGTCACCTTTAAAGTGGCAGAAAAGCAGCATTGCCAGAAAAGCAGCATTGCCATTCAGCACATAAAATCTGCAGGAAAGAGAGATGTGATGGAACAGAAGGAAAAGCAAACTAAGGAAAGCAAATCAAATGGAACAAATTAACGGGAATTGGGTCCACAAATTCTAAAAGGGCTAGCATGAAAAATTGAACTTAAGAGAAAGGCAGGAAGAGCAAAACTATAAAAGGCAGCAAGAAACTGTAATTGTTCACACTATAGTGAAGGACCCACTGATACTTTTACTAAGAAACTACCTTGGTTTCAATAATATTGTAAAACTTTCACTGCTAATATTCCTAGTGAACCTCTTTCACGACATGCCATATCACAATAGTTCACCTGAAAGTGGAAAAATAATTGAATATCCAAGCCTCTTAATTGTTAAGGACCTGAGTTGTTTCTTTTTTCTGGTAAAGCTCTCCAACAAGAACAATCTTGGATGTATCTGATGTCAACAGTGAAAGAAGCAAAATAACTTCGACTCAGCTGAAGCAAAAACAGGAAATGATGCTAAACTGTTTCTAAATGTAACAAACTAAAAACAAATTGCAGGTTTACCCAATTTATGTTGTAGAATTTAAGTTTCCAGGGTCTAAAGAACACAGCTGCTTTTCCACAGTATATAGGAATGCACAGATTTATCTGTTTTTATAACATAATTGTTATAAATAGTATGTAATGTTACATTTTCTTTTAACAACTCATTTAAGTTTCCATGTTTAACATATTTTTCATCTAACAAGAGCCAATACCAGCACTGAGGAAATAGTTGTTTTTCTCCAAGACATGAGGAAACCTCTGGAATATTTGACCCCATTTTATAGTTGTACTGCGACTGTAGATTTTTACTCAGCAGAATAACTTCTTGTTGATATTTTTAATATTCTGTAGAATAAAGTGCTTCCTTTCTACTCTTTCATCAGGTTCATGCAAATGTTGAGAATTCTTGGAATGAGGAAGAAGTGTGGCGAATTGAAATGTATATCTCCTTTGGAATAATGAGTCTTGGATTGCTTTCTTTGCTGGCAGTAACTTCCATCCCTTCAGTAAACAGTGCCTTAAACTGGAGGGAGTTCAGTTTTATTCAGGTGTGTTACTTTTTAAATAAGAGGGTTTTGTTGTTTATAAGAATTCCTTGATGATCATGATCACGAACAAAAGCACTTTGCAGCATGACGAGAGCTTTCTTTCCCTCCTTCTGGTAAGTTAATAAAAACAACATATCCTTACTCGGCAGATACATTACCATGAAGGCACATTAAGCATTTCATGAGTGTTAGAATAGGAATTTGCATTTTACGCTCCTTGGTCTTAAATAACCAACATAGCTAAGACCAAATGAGCACTAATCTATTCCTTTTCCATTGTTAGAATTTCTTGCTAAATTCAAATCAGATAAATTTGGACAAACTCACTAAAGGCAATGATACTGATGAGATACTACCATATGTAAATGCACACAACTGTTAAAATTGAAGACTTAATTTGTCCTGCAGGATTTTTATTGCACAGCCCTCTGACAGTCATGGTGTCATTGGTTCAGTTTTGCTTCCACTCCATTGTGTGGGAATTAGTACAGTTCTCAACTGCGTTATTCCCATTAGTTGAAAATACCCATTAGTAAAATATGAAGCTTTGCTTATTAATAGCAGAGGCTTTTCCAGGTCCTGGCATGCTTTCTGCTGCCCTCCTTCCTCAGATAAATATCTACTACAGGGAGACCCAACCAGCATAAAATACTGAGAAATATAGGCTTTAATAAACAGCTTGATGTTTGCTCCCAAACAAAATTGCCATTAGTTTTAGGCAGCAGTCGGTGATAAGAAATTTTATTAGGATTCAGTCTTGTGATAAACTTCCTAGGTGTGTACATGCAGTTTTGGGTTTTGTTATGTTTTGTTTTGTTCTCTGACTTTGGATTCAGTACTCTAGTCTTAACTCAGTCTTTTCTGATCAATGTTTTTTCAACATAGCCACTGTAATAATATTGCCTAATTCTTAGTCCTGTCACTGTTTACAAATTCCTACCTTCAGAACACAGGCACTGACTTTACTGTTCAGAGCTTGAATTGAGCTTCATAATTTACAGACGTTTTAAAGGGAGTGATGGGGAACACTTCTTTGGCTGTAGTTGTTAGAGGTCTTCTGTCTGTGATGTCTTCCCTTCCCCTAGGGTTTCCGTTGGTGGAGCAATCCAGGTAGGCCTACAAAAAGTTTGCTGAAAAACTTTTCAAATTATAGTTCCCCTGACAGAACTGTTTATTCTCTCTCATGGTTTTGAGCCTTCAGAGGGAGTAAATACCCATTTTGTATTGTTACAGCATCCCTGCCATCCGGAGTTCTCTGTGCGGGGACAATAGTACTGCTGTTGGGTGATGTAAAACGTTAGTGCAAAAGGGAAAAATACATGTTCACTCGTGAGTGAGGTGATGCCTTTATCCAATAATGACTTCCAGCCACATACCCAGCATGTGTGTCTTATTTTTCCTTACTCAAATTTCCAAATTTCAGGCTTGTTTGACTGAGTCAAAACCCACACAATAAACACATAATGATGTGTCTACAAAGGGCATTTTTATTGTGTCATATTTACTACAGTTATTTCCACTGTAAATAAAGTCAAAGTAGTTCCAAATTTAAATAATTATGAACTTTAATAAATCATCTGTCAGTATTTTGAGCAATTTGATTAGGAACAAGTTGTTTGCTGTGGAGCTATGTTACAGTTGATACTGCATTGCATGGTGAAGAGAACTGGTGTTGGTAATTAATTATGATCATCTGTAATTGTTAATCACAAAAAATATTGAACTGCTAAAAAATTGCTTAAGGTTAATGATCATTAAAGGTACTTTACTTTGTCATTAATTACTTCTCAGGATGTAAGTTGTTCTTCATTTAGTTACTTGCCCTTCCAAACAGTTCTCTTGCTGTATTCAATCAGAAAACAGACTTTCAGTGATCCCTCACTAAAGTAAAAGGAGTCTGCATTTTTGCACGAGCTTCATTGTACCCAGCATGCAAGTAGAACAGATAAAACATCATAATACTTATTGTCTTTGATATTTTTCTTCTACTGAAGTGCAATGCAATGAAGTGAATTTGAAGTTAATTTTCTCAATCTTCTCTAAGTCAGGGGGACAAACAGTGGAACTATTAGCCCATCATCTCAGTGCTGCTTTTTTTTTAACTGGGAAAAGCAGTATATCTCTAGCCTTAGTATTGAATCTCAGATGATTTGCCACAATAATTGCTGACCTTGTTTTGCATCTGACAGATGAAGAGTCAGTCAGTCAGCACACTCAGTCAGTTTCTCACCTCAGCACTTCCCACCGAGAACCACATACTATTGCTTGCTCATCTTAGTAAATACAGTTTCATCAAAATAAGGATTTGGGCTCCTCTAAAGAGTTTTACTACTAAAACATACTCAGTCTTGAGTCCTATTAGGAAAATCTGAGTTTAGATTTAACAAATTATTAACATACACAGTATAGACTATTTTCTAGCCTTGTTCCAATAGTACAAGCCCTGAGCAGCATCTCCCCTACCTACAGTGGTTCAAACAGACCTCTACCACAGTCTTCCTAATACTGTAAAGAGATCCCATTTGCGAATGCTTTTGCCCAGAAATCATTGCTGTCTTTGATACCCCAAATTATTTTGGAGATGCCTCCTACTTGCCTAGCCTGGTTTCGCAACACAAGCATCAGCAGCCCCAAAAATTCCAGCCTCTTTGATCAAGGGAAAATGGCTTTAAGAGGAGAAGCAGTGCAGGCTCTGCTCATTCCCTCAGAGTATGAATACGAATAAAGTGAGATATGAGAAGGCTGAATAGTGAGGCAAAAGCCCTACCAGGAGCTAAAAGACCAGCAGAACATTTGGAGTTGCTGCAGTACAGAGCTGACCCTGACCACTGTACAAAACAAGTACCTGATTACTTCATCATGATTCAGAGAGAAACACTCATGGAGGAGCCACAGAACCAGACAGTAATGAAGAGTTTGCTCAGTAGGAGATCCTAGATCATGGACATTTAGCATGAAACTTTGCAGGCATCTTAACATGACACCGAGTTGGAGCTTACTGAAGAAAGCAGAGAAGAAGCTGGGGCTGATAAACCAATGCATGAGTTTTCTTAAATGCCACTTCAGTACTCTTCTTTTTCTCTTACAAACATATTTGGATAAGGAACAAAGATACACATGGGCAAGAAATAAGAAAAGAATTTATATTTTGTCAGAGCAGGCAGAATAACTAGCCTAAACCAACACACTGCAACCAGAAAAAGGCATTTATTGAAACCAGTCCTTGAGTGTTCACATAAAATACATGGAAATGGAGAATGTTGTCTGCAAGCAGTGCTGCACCGGGTCCTTCAGTCTTCTGAAGGAAGTTAAACTGTAAATATATAATGTAAGCATATATGATTACTGCTTTTGTTTTCCAGTCTAAGAGTTCAAGTCCAAAGCACATCACTCAAAGTGGCAATGGACAGAGCAGACTGGCTTTGAAAGCTGAGCTTTATGTTTCATAGCAAAAGTCGGTGCAAATCTGCCATTTGCACAGTAGGAAGCTGATCTTTTTGTAAATGTTCCTTTTGTCTGATAGCACAATCCTAAAGTTGGAGCCAGTATTACTAAAACTTTTCTTGTGTACATACTTTGAGGAAGGGCTGCCCTGCCTTGGTTCTCCCACAAGAATAGGATACTTTTCCCCCAGAGTAAAGAAGAATGAGGCCTGAGTATTTAGCAAGTTTATGGGTAAGATTCCAGTCAGAATTGCTACAGCCTGTTTATAAGTTTAGCAATATCCTGTTACTGGGGGAATCTGAAGCATACCTTGCATATACGTAGGCTTTGGAAAATACCTTTTGTATATATAAATTGCTTGGAACTGCTCAACCATTGTGAAAGTAGAAATTCCTGAAGCAGATTTGTCCCACAGCAGATTTGTGTCTCTATATATGTACATCTTCCTGGTAATGTTTTAGGGATTTTTCTCCTGCATCTTTTCCACTCCTCTAACACTTTTTTTTTCGCCCCAAACAATGCCAGTTTGTCCAGTTTAACAGTGGCCTTGGCTGGGAATCTTCCACATCATTGGCTAAAAAAATGATTTTGATCAGGAAGGAAAAGAAACAAAACAGGGAAGACTTAAAGAAAAGCTAAAAGATTGAGGAGTCCATAGGAAATGTGCTAATCTATTACTCAGCTTCCAGGAAACACAGTATTAGGGAAGATAAGGAAGCAAAGCAACCAAAGATGTTCTTCCCCTTTTCCCAGCAGCCGTCCTAGAGCCTAGGCAGAGAGTTCCCAAGACTTACAAATGATACTGCTACTCACTCACCAATGTGACTTTACCAGTGAAGGAAAAGTATCCCTTCTTGCTGCTTTCAGAAGTCCTCTGCTCTTAAAGAAGTTAGCATCCTGTGCCTCTCCTGTCCTTCTGCGCTAGCTGATGTCTTTTTGTCCAAGCCTGCTTCAGTCAGTTCTGAGTTTCCTCATTTTACTACTGTACAGCCATTGCTGTAGTCTTTGAACATTTGCAGATACAGAAAAATCAAGTCTTTATAACAAACACAGAAGTTTTGTACTGACACAGCCTCGTGCAGTGGGGTTTTACTTAAGTAGCAAAGGCAGCCAGTCTTCCTTGTACTTCTGGAGAAGTCATTGTCAGTAGCTGCAAGCTGGGATAAATTCTCTTAATGGAACTTTCCAGTGCAGGTCTGCCCTGACTAAACAACCCAAAGACTTCAGAATGCTAAGTGGTGTGGAGGACATCCTCTTTCTAGCTAAGTGGTGTTATTACTGTCAAAAGTACAGCACTGAAATCTGGCAACTAAGGGCCTGGTAGAAGAAACTACCATCAGTAGCTGACAAAAGCTCCTATAGGAGTGTCTTTGTTGTCAGATTTTTAGATGAGTGGTTGAAATGGTCCAGCACATACTAGCACATGCCCTACCCACACTTCAAAGAAGCATATGGCAACTTTCCTCAGGGCAAAAAAAAGAACTTAATAGAGGTGCATCATATGTTTTTCTTGTCCTTGTGCTGTTAGTTAAAAATATATGGATAAATGTACTAATGTACTTCTTAGTTTCCATTTTGACCATTAGATAGAAAGACATATATAGGTGTCTCAAAACTGTAGCTTGCAGATGGAATTTAAATAAGCATTAATTTTTTTTTTTTAAGATTTGGGAAGAGTCTGTATAACATTTCCCTCCTGTTTCTTTTTGACGAATTGTTATAGTTCTCATCAGTAAGCCTGATGAAGAAATGAGGGATATGATTCACTTGTGTCCTTTTCCCTGCTGGAAGTGATATAACAGCAATGAATTCAGGACAGTCCTACCAACAAAAATCTGCAACAACATATTCAAACATCAGGTTTGATAGTATTGTTTGCTGTCCAAATTTCTTACCAGAACTTCTGTTCAGATACTGCATGTGCCATTTTCATATTTACAAGTGGTTGTCTGATTGTTCTGTTTCTTATGGAATATTTTGGGAGCAAATTGTTCTTTTTAAAAAAAGGGTGCAGCATATCTAAAACATACCAACATGTCTCTGAAACCATTGACAAAAAAATTGCATAAATATTGGCAAGTTAAAAAATATGGTACCGATCTCTAGAAATTAACAAATTGTTTTCCTTTTTATACCGTTATATCTGTGAATCCTTGCAAATGTTATTAGCTCAGACATTCTCCTTTCCCTAGAAACTGGTTAATCTTGAAGCAGAAAGAATTCTTTCACTATTACAGACCCTTAGGCTGCATTTTTCTTTGCCTCTCTGTTTACTGGAATTAAACCAAGCCTTGGTAGTGAGTTACCTTTCCTAATATTCATTCTCTGTTTTGATGAATTTCTACAAATGTTTCCCAACCAAGTTAGTCATTACATCAGTTTTGGCAAAAAAGAGTTTTTCTTCATTTGATCACCACCAGAATTCAAAGCATAGTAATCTTTTTTTGCCGTGGTTTGGGAAACTCAAAGTTAATACATTTAACTCAGGTCTGCAGAGCAATACAACTACAGGGTTCTTAAAAGGGCAGATTCACAGAAATGGCGAATGACCCCTCTTAGCACTACCTTCTGTGGCACGCTCTAGATTACGTGATAAGAGGTCCTCTTCAGGGTGCTGTGGGAACCTTCTACTTCCCATTTCATCTGGCACTACCTGTTCATGATAAACTGCATCATTGCCTTGTGCCCTTATGCCCAAGTCCTGCAGTCCAGATATTCCCATTGACCAGTAGGCAACAGCTGATGGAGAAAGGTAAGGGATGGTTTATGCCAACTTCAGACAAGTGTATGTAGGCCATTGTGAGGAAGAAGCAAACTGCACCTCTCAGAGTGATAAAAATCTGGAGTGTTAGGCCCAGATCTCTTCCAGCAAAATTGCATTGTTCCATAATCATGAATCTGGGAAGTGATCTACCATCGTAGTTAAGAAACAGGGAACTTAATTTCCAATCACAACTGATGTTGTTCCAGTAACTTCACTGGGATCGTTCCTTATTCGCATACATATCCTGAAGTTGACTTCCATTACTTAGAATTTGGGCAAACATCATCTTCATTTCAGCTTTGACTAAGGCCTATAGATGCTAGCAGAGATATGTTGTAAATCAGTATTCAGTTCAGGCTGTAGTTTTCAGAACATTTGAACTTAAACCCACAAATTGCTAATTTAAAATAGTGTACAGGTAAGAGATTTTAACATGATGTCTAATAGAAATGTTAAAATAATGGGTTAGAACTGTCAGATGAAGGACCTATTATCTCTTCTTTTTTCCCTGTTTTCTCTTTTTTCAGTCTACACTTGGATATGTTGCTCTGCTCATAAGTACTTTCCATGTACTGATTTATGGATGGAAAAGAGCTTTTGAAGAAGAGTATTACAGATTTTATACACCACCAAATTTTGTTCTTGCCCTTGTTCTGCCTTCCATTGTAATTCTAGGTAAGATCATTTTACTTTTGCCATGTGTAAGTAGGAGACTGAGGAGAATTCGAAGAGGATGGGAGAAGAGCCATGTTGTTATAGAAGCAGCAAGTGGGTCTGTTCCACATCTCTCCCCAGAAAGGATAACTGTGATGTGATGATAGACTAATATTTGTTAGCACTGTTGTAGATGTTTGGAGGGTTTTTTTTGTCATAAACTTGTATTTTTAGGAGTTTAGTTAAAGTATGAGTAAAGTCACTGTGGACTTGCTTGGCATATAGTACAAGCTCTCAACCAAACTATGAGAAATTTATAACTAGAAGACTACTACTTCAGATAACTACAAAAATATTTTTGTTTTGAATTACAGAGCGCAGATGATTATGAAATCAGAATTTTTTAATGCTCCTTTGCACAGTTATATCACAACAGTATTTTATTATAACCATGCTTTCCAGGTATTTCTTTGACTTAGAGCGTATGTGTCAGAGTGCTGTTTATCAATACCACATTTTCCGGGCAGTGTTTCTTTTATTAAAACCACACTTCTGGGTTAGTGAGTTCAGAATATAGACTAATAGAGTTAATAATTGAGGAAATAATCAGATTTTGAAACAAATTAATTTGTAATGATGTATTGCACATGTACAGTCTATTTATTTGTGTGTGGTTTTACACCATTCCATGACTTGAATATGCAAAACCAGTTTCAATTATGGTGTAATTGTACATCTTGCAAGCAAATGGTATTGTACTAACAGGGTCATTTTTTTTGCAAGTATAACATTGGATTTTAGACCTTTGGCATCTCTTTATTTCCATACATCACATAATGAAAATTCAAAACAGTGTTATACCTGTATAGAAAGACTTGCAGATATGTGTGCAAGCAACTAGTTTTTGATTTTAGAATGATTTAAAAATATCAGGAAATATTTTAAAACAAACAAACAAAAAAAAGCTGAGAAATCTGCAACAATAAAGATGCATTTTCACTGTGACACTTCCGATATGTTGGTACAACAGGGAAGCATCACAATACTCATGTTCTATATGTTTCTACACTGGAGTTTCAGTTATTATATATGAATTTCCCAGAGTCTGTCTTAAATTCTTTGTATCTTTTTGTGCAAATCCAATCTTCTATTTTTATATAAAAGTCTTAATTTTACAAGTGTCTCTGGGATATGCCTGAATTTTTGAGAAACAAAATTATTATTCTTCTACTTAAAAAAATGAATTTATCTCTAAAACTTGACATTTGCATTTCCTGTGGGATTCAAAAGAACATTCACAATTGTTTCTTACTACTGCTTTGTCAGGTTCTACTCTTCTCTAACAAAATAGCCAAACTCAACTCATACCTTCAGGCTAGTCCTGCTTTATTAGCAAAACCTGTATTTCAGTGAATTAAAATGTGTATTTGGTCCTAATTTTCTTTACTTGTATGAAATTATATTTTTCTTATCTATATTTGCACTGGTTAGGATCTCTGACTTTATTAGCTAAACCTTCACTTATTTTTTACTTTGCAAGAATTTGTCATCGATATGATATATCAGAAATATACAGTACTTAATCTTGAATTTATCCCTAAACATTCCTAGTCCTGTAAATCTCTTATCTCTGTTTGTAATGAAAGAAACAGCTCCACAGAACAAGAAGAATCTAGAATCAAACTCTGCCCTCAGTTACACCAACCTAAATCTAAAGAATTCATATTAGTTGTTCTTAATTTCATTTCAAATTCAAAAAATCTACAACAATTTTATTTTCATTGTAGTATCCATATTCCCCAAACTTACACATCAAGCCTGCATATACTCTGGGTTTGTCGCAAATCAAGAGACAGTTGAACTTCCTTTCATTTTAAGCATGTTCAAATCTAGAGATGAAATATAAAATATTTGCATTATTTTTTTGATAATTTAAGCATTTTTTATATGTCTTTAAACATGTTTTGTATCAAATGAGAGGTCAGTGAATTCTTTTTGAAAATAGAAGTTTGTGGAAACATTTTTTGGGAAAAAAATTTCAAATATATTTCATGCATGTCAACAGAAATTTGAGAAGTTTTTTTCAGTTCACAAATTTCCAATTTCAAATCGTTGGAAAACTCAGTTTTATCCTCCTTTTTAAGCCACAGGGAGGAAGCAATTGGAAAGAAAATTCATTTTATTTCACCAGTTTTTGAAAAGTAAATGATAATAACAGCTCTAATTGGTCAGACTAAGGTCTTTGAGACTTGTCTCCAATAGCTGACTAGTGGCAGATGCTTCAAACAAGAGGGCATGTGTCCAGTGATTCTTCTCCTGACATAACCTCTCAGCTTATTGGGAATCAATAATTTAGGACTTATTTGAGATAGGTGCTGCCTCTGGACTGTTGTATTTAATAGCTACTTCCCCCCAAAATTTATCTTTTTTAGAAATTTGAATCTTTCCCAGTTTTTTACAGGAAAGGAAAGGAAAAGACAGAAGAGGAAAAAAAGTTTAATAAATCTATCAAATTAATTTAAAAAGTTTGCATTCTTTCTTTCTTCCAAAAACAAATCAGTTAGTTTCAAGGTACTCATTTTATTGTCCCTCCTCCAATATTCAGCTATTTCAGTGATACTTGTGGTGAATCACAAGTACAATACTATTTTATCAAACATTCTAGACACTAAATGAAAAACATGTCATTGTCGGAGATAGACAGGAGCCTAAATTAGAATGAATGAGATTTTCACATAAAAATGAAGAACAAGTGACAATTACAACTTCTAACTTACTTTGCCCGCCTGTAAATACATTCCAATACACAAAGCTGTATATTTCTTGAAAGGCTTGCAGAATTACATGTAACTGAATTTCCTGGCCTGTTTCCTATTCCATTATTGCAGAGGGAAACCACACAAAGCTTAGGCATTTGTGCTTCAATCTTTTCAGTAAAATTAATTTAAAAAATCTTAGAATACACAAAGTCTTGCAGAATTTTAATAGGATAAATACCATGCTACATTCTACCCTGGTCCTGTGCACGAAACCTGATTAAAATCACTAGAATGGGATGGTATAACTGAGAGCAGAATTTCATACCTCTGAACAAATTTAGGGCAGAAACCATTACTGTTGACAATCTGATTACATTTCAAAATTAAATGCGCTGCTATTATTTTATAGTAATTCTACACTTCTGTAGAATAGGTAATTAACCTTCATGTTCCCTACAATTATCTAATTCATTTGATGCAATAGCGATAATGTTGCAGAACTAAGATACTGTACTAATGGAAAATTAATGTCAAAGTCCTTATATATTGTACTGTAATGCAACCACTGACAGTATATATAGAAATGTATTGGCCCTCTTTCCTATGCAAAAAGTTATTTCATCATACAATTTCTTCAAGAATGTTTAAACTGTTAAATTTTGAACTGCCAAAGGTGTCTGGAGAGAATAATGATGTGCTGTTCCTTTTTTCAAACTGTGTGTGTGTAAAATTAAAAATGTGGTTTAATCTTATAAGTTACTTGAAAGGTTGAAATATTGAAGTATTAATAAATAGATGATATTTTTAGATCAAATATATGAAGACATTTTGTGAAATATTTGTGCTACAAAATGACATACAGTTTCCTGTTAGGCCATGTATTTACTTCTAACTGGAATAAGAAGTTGACTTGTGATTTAATATTTTGTAGTGTTCTTTAAGGACCAATTCACTCTAACAAGGCATTGTTAAGTCTGAAAGTAAAATGACACTCATGCATTTACTACACATTATGTATCATATCGTGCATATGTTTAGTCACATAAGGAATCTTTATTCATGTGATCAAACACGTTGATTTCTATATAAGAACTCACATTAGGACTTCTCATCAGAAAAAGACCTGAGGCTAAAAGTTTAGTTTTGATTGCCTAAATATAAACAACTAAATTTATTTAGACGTCTTAGTTACTTAGGGGAATAAATACATATTTTGAGGAATAGCCTGCTATAAAAATATTTTTGTGTAGCTTTATATAAATTGCTTACTGCCTAATGAAAAATGAATAATAAAATAAACTACATTTGTCTTCATTACTGTTCAGTAAAAAAAAATAGTGCTTAATATGTAATACAGAACTGTACACATCATAGAGGAAAATGCAGACTTCTATGTATTTAGCAACAGGTTATTTGTTTTCTATGGATATTAAGGTATTCTTTCTTAACATTGTCTAAAATACAGTTCTATTACAGGTTCCATACGTCTCTTTAATTTAATCTTACAATTCTATTACCTGTGGCAACTATGTACAAGTTAATTAAGTACCTATATGTTCTTGAATTATTTAGAGATTAATTATTTTGTAATTGTTTTGCAAGTTCTTTGCATATCTAGCTTGTGGTAATGGTTACTGTGAATTGGTGCCATGTTTAACTTTTTGTTCCAACATTGTGCATTATATGATGTGCCAACATGAGAAAGTACATTTGTATTTTTATTTGGCAGTAATTGCCTATAAAATAGTGTGTCTGTGTGTGTGTGTGTCTATACCTTGTTAGCTATACATGCTGCCCAACTAGCACTAAGGGGAATTATTAATTAATATAAGGCAATGAGTTCCCAAGTGGCTATAAATTTCACAGGTATGAATATAGTTAGGAAACAGCTTTCCTCTGAATGTGAAGATTTCCTCTGAAAGTTAGATATATCAGGTGCATAAACATTAGATAGATTGAGTTTTTCAGTATAATATTTTCATATATGCAGTGGTAATAGATGCAAATGCATAGTTCCTTTCAGAGAGTGCATCTCCTAATACATGAGTTTTTGATTTCTTGGCTGTTCATCCTGTAGTATTTTCTATCAATGTAGTGAGTAATGTTGCAGTACTGATATCATATCAGTATATGATACTGCTTGAATTAATTAGATTACAGCCTTTAAAATAAGTGACACATTTAACTGACTTGAACAGTGATCTCGATCATTATATATTGTTTCTCATGCCTTGCTGGCCGTGTCTTGCAGTGAACATAGTATGTCTCCCATGTGCAATATTCTCTTTGTAGTTGTGTTTGTCAATTTGTTTGTGCTGTCTCTCTGAACAGGGCTATTATAAATGATTAGTAATGCTTTTATCTATTTTTCCATAGACTGTGTTTTACACAAAAATCAATAAAAAGTCAATGTCAAGTGTTTGGCT